CAGCTTAAAATACCAACCAAGAGGGGGAAAAAAATCTTTACAGCAAAGGTCATTACCATCCCCTCTGTACACAGGATTGATAGGAATTGGCAACTTAAGACACTGGATACCTAAAATGGGGGGCACGGGGGCTGTAAAGGCACGAAGTGACTGGCTTACAAGTTTTCAAGAGGGAGTTTTGATTCAGAGTGTGCGAGGGAAAGATAGAATACCCAACTCAGTGGTTTTCATGCTGTCTAGACAGGTCTGGTGAAAAGAGATGTGGACAATAGAGAGTAACTGTTATCATGACTAATTGCAATTGTCGCAACTGTAAAGGTAGAAGTTTGGTAGCAAAAAGGGGTGAGTCTTACAGTCTTACAGTTCTGGAGTGGAGGACCCTGGGACCATCAATGGAGAAGTGAGGAAGTGTAATATGGGGCCCTACCACCAGAGAAACGGTGATACCAGAGATAGAGGCAGAGATGATGACATGGAGAGACAGAGCAGCTGAGAACTCTAGACTCATGGAGGGAGAGGGGATGTGTGCTAGTGGCTGGGGTCAGGCTTGCAGGGTGGGTGGGCCCTTTGGCTGTTTGAATGACTGTATATTCCTGAGTGTTTGGATGCACATCCAAAAAGAAAAAGAAAAAAGAAAAGAAATTGTTGAATGATGAAGCATGTAGGAGATTGTAATCATTACAATGAAATGAATATGACAGGATGAGTGTAAAACTGATGTTCCCCCATGTAAATTATCAAATACAAAAAACAGGTCTGGGTATGAGAAGATGGGGAAAAATACTGATGGAATATTATGATTCAGCTGCGAGTGGTTAACAGAGTTAATTGTGATTGTAAAAACTTTTAACATTTTAAAACATTTTATATGTGGGTATAAAATGAGCTGCCTCACAAACTGAAAGGGGAGAATCTCACCACTTTTAAAGAGGAAAAGAGGAGAAGCCAGGAGTGGAGTGTATCCTTTGGACCCTGAAATCCCAGTGCACTGAACCTCCACGAATCAGAGACAGAAAGCTGTGATGCTGGAGGAGAGGCAAAGACACCACAGCAGCACAATCCAGAGCCAGTAAAATCCCAGTCCACAGAGCAAATCAAGCTTTAGGCAAGGGGCTTGCCTGCAGAATGGGTTACCTCCAGACACTTAATTCGAGGAGCTAGTTTTACTGCTTCGTGTAGTTAGAGCAAGTGCCTTCAAGCTGAGGCTTATGGACAAGTGTTGTGTCCCGTAGGTTTTATCAGTCCTAAAAGAGCTTTGTAACATTGCCAGGGCAGAGAGTGGTTTGCCTGTCAGCATGGCTGAAGAGAGGTTATCCTGACTGGACCACCTGTGCCCTGAGCATTTCTGAACCTGAACTGTAACCTGTAAATGTCCCTAATAAACCCTGTAATGTTGAGCATGGTGCTTGATTTCTGTGTGTAGGTTGTAATGAATTCTCAAACCCAGCTGAGTATATAGAGTGCTGCGGGAAGGCAGTTTTTATAGGTACTACTAGAAAGCATGAGAAGCTCTGGTAGCATAGTGGTTATTAATTAGGTTGCGAACCTCAAGGTCAGCAGTTTGAAACTACCAGCCGTTCTGGAGGAGAAAGATGAGGCTTTCTGCTCCTATAAAGATTACAGCCTCAGAAACCCTGTACACAGTCGCTGCTATGAGGTGAAACCGACTCCACGGCACGTAACAACAATCATGAGGAATCTGTCTCAGATTGTGAAGCATTATATAAAAATGTTGTTGTTGTTGTTGTTGTTAGGTGCCATTGAGTTGGTACCAACCCATAGCGACCTTATGCACAGCAGAACAAAACACTGCCCAATCCTGGGCCAACCTCACTACTGTTGCCACGCTTGAGTCCATCAATGCTGCCACTTGGCCAATCCATCCCATTGGGGGTGTCTTCCTCTTCTTTTCTGACTCTCCACCTTACCAAATATGATACCCTTCTCCAGCGACTGGTCCCTCCTGACAATAAATATGTCCAAGCATGAGAGACGAAGTTTGGCCATCCTAGCCTCCAAGGAGCACTCTGGCTGCACTTCTTACAAAACGGATCTATTGGTTCTTTTGGCAGTCCATGGCACTTTCAATATTCTCCAACACCATAATGCAAAAGCATCAATTCTTCTACGGTCTTCCTTATTCACTGCCCAGCTTTTGCATGCATATGAGGTAATTGAAAATACCATGACTTGGGTCAGGTGCACCTTCGTCCTCAAGCTGACATCTTTGCTCTTCAACACTTTGAAAAGGTCTTGTGCAGCACATTTGCCTAATGCAATACGTCACTTAATTTCTTGACTGCTACTTCCGTGAGTGTTGATAGTTGATCCAAGAAGAGAAGGAAGTCCTTGACAACTTCAATCCTTTCTCTGTTGATAAGCATGTTGTTCACTGGTCCAGTGGTGAGGATTTTTGTTTTCTTTACATTGAGATGTAATCCATACCAAAAGCTGTGCTCTTTGATTTTCATCAGTAAATGCTTTAAGTCCTCTTCGCTATCAGCAAGCATGGTTGTGTCATCTGCATATCGCAGGTTGTTAATAAGTCTTCCTCCAATCCTGATGCCACGTTTTTCTTCACAGAACCCAGCTTCTCGGATTATTTGCTCAGCATACAGGTTGAATAAGTATGGTGAAAGAATTCAACCTTGTCACACACCTTTTTTAATTTTAAACCATTCACTGTTCCCATGTTTTGGTCGAACAACTGCCTCTTGGTCCATGCACAGATTCCTTATGAGTACAATTAAGTGTTCCGGAATACTCA